AACTATAGCTTATCATTAACACATCAATAAATTGATGCGATTTTAAAGCCACAATGATACAAGAAAATCATTCCGTGAACACTAAATGTTTGAAATTCACAACAATTCAATCGCCTTCTTGCACCAACCTCGTCACCAACAACTGATGTAAAAGTTTCAATGTTTGAAGCGCAGTGTTAAAATTTGATTGATGCAACACTTTGTACAGAGTATCGATTTCTTTCGTCAAACGTTCCGCTTCATCTGCAAAAAAAATTACGTGAATACTTTTCGGATGAACTTCACTGCGTTCACAAATGCCAATCCTTTAATTCTTTTCTTTTCATTGAATCAACATTTAAAATCAATCAACAATAACAAACGATCACTCATTTTTATTGATCTATAACATTAATCTATAAATAATATTAATCTCTATAACTGATCTATGTTGATCTATAACACTGATCTATAACCTATAATCTACATTGATCTATAATCAATAAAACGATAAAATGAAATAAACCAATGAAAATCATTTCAATTAATCAGAATCATACTTTTCGCATATGGAAACGCACGATTCGTTGCAGTCAACAATGCCGAAATAATCTTGTCATCAATTTTTTGTTTCGCAATCAAAATTCGGAAGAGACCAATATAAATAGTCAAAAGTGAAGCGGCTAATTCCACATCGCCAGCATTCAGTTGCATTTGTGCAAGGAACGTAACTGCGTAGAGTTGAGCCCGACATGAGATGTTCCTTAGAATTTCGGATTTGTTTCGATAAAATTGTTTACTTTTGCTCAACGCAAATGTTTCTCAAACAAAATGCTCATTCAAATATGTTTAGAATCAACTAAAAATTACATCCACACGAAAAATTTTTAATTTCACAAGTCGTAATTCAACTCATTTATCATTCATTTAAATTCAAAACTTTGCGTAGATAAATAAATTAATTATCGCTTTATCGCATCAAAAACACGTCAAATCACTAACTTTCTATAAATAAGACGCTCCACTTCTTTCACGACAATCGGCCTCATATTGGGCTGTTTCTGGGTCAGTTTCATTAAATATCCAACTAAACGACTCGCAAATTTACGATTCGGATGGCCCAATTTATTCACCAACAATGTCAATAGCCTCTGAAAGTATTTGTTTCTAACCAAAAGTTTTTCCAGAAGCTCACAAAAACTTCAATTCTAAATAAACCAGTGTCACGAGCGATACACAACGTAAAAAACTCGCTCGCAAGTAATCATCACTCACAGAAATGCATCCAAAAATACACTCTCAAAACATCAAAAATTCAGACAACAACAAAAAATTATTCATGAGGCATCATAATTCAAGAACATTACAACTGAAGGAAGTCAAGAGCGAATTTGACTTCAAACCTGTTCTTGCTCAGGTCGTTCAATCAACA